CTAAGATCCTCCTGGCATAAGAGCTGGCATAAGAAAACACTCCGCTTTCCACTTGACTCTCCGTCCATAGAAGAATAAATCGTATGTAAAACTCTGGCATCCAGTGCTTAAATATAATATTGATATTCGAATCGATGCCAAAACAACGGCTGTTATGTACAAAAGCTTTCATTCACTTTTTTTTTTCCTAAACTCCTGTTTATATCAAGGGCACGTTTCCATATCGTTTCCGACATGCAAAGCGTCACTAACCACTTTTTTCCTATCCGTATTTTCATGACAGTGTGTATCCTGTACATTGTATTTATTTTGTGATTATGATTTTGCAAAGATAACGTAATTTCTTTTGGCGGTTATTCATTCGCTCTAGGCAACCTTTTTCACAGATCAAATACAGCTATGGATTGCTCATAATCAAGCGACAAGGAACTGCCAACTGCACGTTTACTCTAATCACTACAGAAGGAAATCGGTTGCGCCAATCGTGTGGTCAAGTTTCTAAGTAAAGAAATCCGTGTTCCCCTCATTGTAAAATTGGTGGAAGCTCAGCCCCTTCAGAGCTGGGCTGCTGCTGTGTTGGTTCCACATACTGCTATTTTTTGTTAAGGATACTCCTTCGCGTCAAGTCGATGAGCATTCTCCTGGGATTTTCGTCCTCTCCTCCTGTGGGTCCCTTTACGTCTAATGCCCTTGGCCATACCTTTTTCGGTCCCTCGCCGACTGAGTTGCTTCTCCCCCCCTTACATGTCACTAGACGTTCTGCTATATTGGTTATGCGAGAGCACTCGTCCGTCCTGTCATTGGTCCCGAAATACTGTGATGATTTTCCTTTTCTGTGCAGGCCGCATTGCACTGCTCACTAGCGCCAAGATAATCTGCCGAACAGGAGTCCTATGGAAATCGTGTTCAGGACAGGCTAATGGTAGTAGCAGAATTTTTACAACAAATAGGTAACGGACCCTTCAATTAATGAGATGAAGCATAATTACATGAGAATTCACGAACTTGAATTTACGACGTATTTTTTTGCGCACGTTAGAATTGTGGATATTAAAAATTCGAGTCGTATGAGCGCTACAATTTGAATAAGCCAATAGACCTAATTATTAGCTTTAATGATTTCGAACGACGCTTTTGTGTGTCGATAAAGTTGAAATGGTATCACAGTTTCTCACAGTGAAAATTAAACCAAAAAAAGAAGGTTATTGAATAATATATCCAGAAGCATATCTGACGACTAGCAACCACTTTTCTCAAAGTGTAGTTGCGATATATATAAGACCAATAAATGTTCTGAGGTTCACGCCTTTCTTCGGCTGGCTTTTATTACATCAAAATGAAGTGCGTAGACAGCATGTGTCCAACTTAGACCGCTTTTGCTAAGCACTGCGTCACGGGAAACAAGCTAAACAGCAAGAACTCTAGCCGTTTAGTTTTACCTGCCGTCCATCCAGACTCGTAAACGCTACTTGATATTTTGTTTTAATAATTAGTGTGAGGGGGGGGGGGGGGTCTCGTGCTAAGAGCCCCCTTCTGTCTAAATGTGACGGGATACTTCTGGATGAGATTCAAAATATTGAATTGCTGTTATGAACATTACAGGAAAAAGCTGCGCTCAAAACTTTGAACCGAATCTTCGATACTAGGCCAATATTTGGTAAACATCCCATTTCTTATGTGTTCATCTTGTGCTGACTTCTCGAAGTAAACAATTCGTTTGTGCTTCAGACCCACATGATGTAGTATATGACAACCTTACCTTCGCTGGAAGTAATAAAGCGCTAGTGCTTAGAATAGTGGAGTAGATCCGGTATCTTATCGACCGATTTGAATATCGGTACATAACTAATATAAAAGCGCCGTGGCTTAATTCGCTCAAGGGACAAGCGCAAGCAAGGACTAAAGCCACAGATGAAGATACAAAAAATACACGAGGGGAGATCAAAAGATCATCACGTCATCTGATAGGAAACCATTTTAGCAGAAGAGGCGGCAGCACCAATCTCAGCTGTATTCTGTGCTTCGCTTTCGCATTTCGTTCTATCTATATGATCAAATGATATCTATTGACCTCAAATAATGTAGTGGTAAATCTGCTAATATAAATAGATATTTTCCAACCTCCAAGTTGTAAGTTACTTACTAGAAGTCCCTAAAATGCACATGAACGATTTCATTATATATGAAATAACAATTCTATTATAGTTAGCTAGCTAAATGTTAGGTCAATCTATGATGATTTCTTAATCCTGATCTCGTAAATATGTGTTGTATTTATAAAATATAGTCTACTAGCTAAGCTTAAATATATTTGTATAGTAAGATCTACGACCATACTGGATAAGGCAACTCTTAGATGGTTTGTTATAAACGAATTATATAATGATAAATTCATTTTTCGAACTCCCCCATTTGTATCGTCCCCTACGTGAAGAACACTCTTCCAAAAAAAAAAAAAAAGAGCCTAATTGAAAGTGTACAAAGTAGATTTCTACAAATATCTCAGTGATGTTGGTCCTTAAATACTGCTTTCATTACGTTTTATTCCCGTCGCCGCTCTGGGCTAACCGCAAATCGTTGATTTGTTAGACATTGTTAGACCAAATGATCGAAATGCAGCTAGGTATTTATTATTCCTATAAATAAAATTATAAATAAAAATTTGCTCACCAATAACATTTAGCATGGCACGTGAACCGAGGAATCCAAGAGCGTAATTCCCTTCGAATTTTCATGTAATGCGTAAATATAAACAACTATATTTATTTATAAGTAGTGTGTGCACCTTCCCTTCTTTCAATCAGTATGTGTTGAAATCCTTTGAATGAAGAATGAACTTAGCAAATTAACTTGACCTTTCTAGCTAATCAGTAATAACATCGAGTAACTCAGCTGGTTGTCTTGAATTACTCGTACGTTCCGGAATCGCTAGCTCTTTCCGCCATTTTTTCGCACGCTTTTCATTCATCACAGACTCATCGAAGCTGTCGTTTGACTGACAGCCTGCGCTAAGCCTTCTCTTCTACTTTTCTTACCTGCATTAAGTACGGCAACAATCCTAGACTATTCTCAGAGGATTGACAACGCTAGACTCACTGGAATCATTTTGGGGCGATATTTTTTCACGCTAACAATATCAATAATAACGGAGTCCGCTCCATCGAAATGGCTGATAAACGCGAAAGACGTCCCATATAAAGCATCATTCCCAATAGGTACCCAGACAGAATCTTCTGTGTTTCCAATAAGTCCGAAAAGGGAACTCTTTCCCCGTGAAAAGTGTTTTTACATCATATATAGAGCATCTAAATCCGGCTATTCTCAGATTTCCTAAGATAAGAATGTTTTCTAACATTGTATCTAATCAAAAAGAGATATTTTAAGAACTATTTTATGCTGGCTGGAAGAGTCACTTCTGATGGTCATGTTTATTCAATGTAATCGTCACTTACCTTAATTCCAGCGTCAGCCTGAAACCCCAATCGCTAACTAGTCACTCTAAAAATATTGTTGTTTTAACAACTTTTTAATAGCAGTGTAGCACAGCGATATTAATAGTTGTAAACCCGTTAAAATATTTCTAAAATTAGCTACATTATATTTTGGGCTGATATTAGATTCCTAAGATGCAAGGCTCAAATGGACAAAACATCCAGAAGGTGCAAAAAGTTAAAAAAATCTAACCATTAAAACCCAGCTAAGCGACCCAATTGGTAACAAATATTTTCAACGCCTAAATTTCAGATGTATCAAAACTGTTTTTTTTATTCGTTTTAAATACATTTTTAAATAGTTTAAATCTTAAGTTTATTAAGGATCTTTCGATCTGCTTCATATAAATCTTCCTCGAATTTTTTCGAAGTTGTATGACATGTAAAAAAAAAGAAAGCTTTGAATTTTGATGCGACGCTCATTCCTCATATATGTACAATAGCTGATCTTCGTTAAATTTGGAAAACAACACACTGACTTTTTCCATCATAAATACGTTGAGATACCAAGCATAAGGAATGAACGTACGTTTGCCACGAAAAATGGCTTGCCAAAATTTTATCGCCAAAGTTGAATACCCAGCTTTGTGCAGAAGACGTAAATGACGGAAGACGGACGACAGTATACGTCATGCGCTGCGCTTAATCCGTAACCCTTCTTTTTTTCATTCTTTATTTCTCTGTTATAACGAAAGAACGGTGGACGTAGGCATATTGGGACAACGCTCCAACGTTAGGACCCCCCCCCCTCCAGTAAACGTTCCACCGACCTAAGTGCATACTGCTGTTCATTACGCCCTGCTGTGTATATAGGTTGCTGATTTTGGGCGTCACTTCCTAAGAAGACTTTTGATAGCAATTAATATATGGGGAGGACTCTACTAATTCTTTATAACTGGTTTTCGATAAAAATAAATATTTCACTATATATAAATCGGAAATCATTAGGTTATGTAACAGATAAAATAACTGATAAATTCGTGTTGGATAGCAGTGTTTTTTATATGCTTGAAAACGGTCAAGTTGTAGAGATAAATGATGAGTTAGGCTTCGTCATAGTGAAAGGTGATAAGCATAATATGAACCATGACGATGAAGCAATATCTATATGAAGGCTAAGTCTGTTGAACTTAAAGTATGTATGTAAATTTACTAACTTAGAGGAAGGAAGGCTATAGGAGTAACATTATGGTTACGAATCAACGTATACCACTGCGGGCAACTTAATTAACAATGTGTTACTTGAGACGTGTGTGGTTGTGTAGCGGATAGCTGGATCTGACTAATGGTCAGCAGACTGTATTTAAGATAGCGTTAAGAAACTACCATATAGTCCTTAATCCAGTGGAAGTTCCACTATTTCATTTCGTTCATATATACTGGAATATCACTGGTAGCTTTTGTTCCGCTACCGTGTCGTATGCCTCTTGCAATTCTAATGCCGCTTTAACCGGTCAAAAAACAGAGTTACGAGCATGGCTGAGCAAACTTTATTTTATATGTAGGGCGCATCGTAGCAAGTTGGTGTTCACCATTGCGTTGCCTTGAGGCTTCAGACCTCAAGGGTCTGCTTCACTCTCTATGACGCAATCCGTAGCGGGTGTAATTAGTCGATGGTAGCAGAGCAGGATGTGACAGGGATAATAAGAAACTGTGAACGCTAGCAGAAAGAAAGCAGGGATCTGTGCGGTGGTAGCCCTGCATCCTTTGCCTTGCGCATGGAAGTGGGAAAATAAGACCCATAGGTGAACCCTAAGGGGATGACTAAGGCCACCCTGTGCCCAACCGAAACAGGGAGAGGCTATTAACATCTGGCTAGCGGTCGTACCATTAGTAAGGCCTTCCTAGCCAGAGGCAACCAGACTATGTGTGGCGGACGAGAAGCAGCAGGAAAGGCAACGGCACCGAACGATGAAGAAATAACAAAAGAGAAAAAGGTCTCTCAGGTCAGTCTGTTGTCTACGACGTTACTTTAGCGGTTTAAGAGGCAACCTTCTTGCGTCTGTTGCCCTCCTTTTCTCTCGTAACGTTCCCGTCACTTCACAACTGTTCCGTCCGCTGCATTCGTTTTCTTAGGACAAACAAGGTTCTGCGCTCTTTCTGGGACCCCAGTAGTGACCGATCCACTGGCCGGCCAAGACAGGTTGATGAAAGGTGATGCTGAAACGAAGCAGGTGGCGCGGGCAACGTGGCGAAGGGGGCGGCCGATCATAACGTTGATCCGGCAGACGAGCGAATGGGGACCATGCGCAAAGTCTTGTCCGGCCAGCGTGAGACTGTGGGGAAAAGGAAAGATTATTCATACGTACTGACAACGGTGAGTGTAAAATGCCCGAAAAATAAATAGGCTTTTACGTCGCTACACAAGCAACACGGTAAAGTAAGTCGAGTTAAAATTCGAAGGAAAATAATGGATCAAAAATGGTTTAGATAGAAAAAGGAAACTGAAGAAACTAAAATAACTGAATTAAGGAAACAATTTATTTTCACATTTACTAAACGTTGCCTGATGTTAGCCCAAGGTAATCTAGGTCTGAATGCCTGCTTATTGGAGTCGTAAAACCGGATAAGTTGACTTCGTAGAATTATAGATACATGAAGAAGAAAACTCTTTCCACCTCCGGGCTTTCAAGGTAAAATTTTCGGAGCCATTCCGACATGGTTTGGTACCGTCCTAGTCTTCAGATGACCTTTTTTACTATTTCCTTTCGTTGTTTTGTGTTACAGCTAAGAATTTAATTTTGGCCTAGCGTACTCTTTGTTAACATAAGGACAAAGAATTGTTTTTCCCGGAGGCTTTAGCGTGGTGGTTATTTTTTACTTTACAGCACGTAAGCCGGGTTTTCCAAGAGGCTAAACATAGGCTTATTCAAGCAATAATTGATAAAGCACCTTACGTCGCGGAAAACTGAAAATTCATCCGAATAAGTAATTCCATCCATTCTAAGGCTTTATTTGTCATGGCTTCAGTAGGAGTTTTAAAACTTTACCAATAAAGTGAGGCATAAGACTTTACTTTGGCCAACAGCGCTTATCCATTAATATACATCAACGAATGCTAAACAGAGGTTAGGTGCAGCTAGCAATAGCAATTTGATTATACTAGAATCAGCTTGCTACCTTAGGATTAGGGGAGTGTTGGTATTAAACTCTGGAAATATATTGGGGTTACTATCATAAGTATTCGGTTTCCTGAAACTTACGAGGGCATTTGGTCTATTGGTGGAAGTCCCTAGGCCACATCATTGACTTACAGGTATTACTCAAACCAGGTTTCAGCCTCAGAAATCGTCAGATCAAGCAACTCAAGCCACAATGAGCTGATTATGTATGAGACTTATTGTTTACTACAAATAGAATTTGTCGCCTTGAACATCAACAAACTGCCTGACCTTAGTTTAACTCGGTAGATCTAACATTGGTAATTAGGTTGGTGGATAGCATGCCGGGCAGACCTACTGACAGAGCCGAATCAGACACGGGTCAGCGTGAGGCCAGCGCACAATTTATGAGGTCAGGTTCTCTCGAGGGACGTGCGTTTGCCTAAACCGGACCCTATTGGGGTCTACGGAGCCGCCCCAGTTGGGGCACATAGGGGTCCCTCTACCTCCCCCTGGTCAATAGAAAGGTCGGGTGAAAAGAAGTAAGCTTCTAGGACGGGTCTCTTCACTGTAGTGTAACCTGTACACCATTCGTCCGCCGAGGTAGAATCTGTTTGCCTTCTACTTTTTCTGTTGGTACCACAACTGCTGCCGGTACACGCTCGGAGACCTAATTGGTCCCCTGGGTCTAAAGACAAGTCGTCCTCCAAAGATAGGCGGCGGCGGATAGCTCTTGCCGACTCTTACCTCAGTTCGCTCTAGCTCATTTCTGCGCTAGCATTTGAATTGGCGAACGCTGGCGAACTCAAGCCCCGCCAGCACGTAAAGGAAACATGTGGGCCAACCGGATCTTTGCTTTTCTCCCTTCACTTTCAATTGAATATGTGCCTGTCCATTCATTTATCTCGAAGCTATTGCGAATGATCCCAACGTAATACTGTACTGGTATGTGCCATTACTTTGTCTGTAGCAACGCTCGATTGTGACGATGCCCAGCGGCTGACAGATTCACAGTGGAAATTGCTATTGAACGTACCTAGCCTTAGAGATCACGCTAATAGGTTAAGGGTCTTCGTATTCCAGTGGGATTCGCCTATGGCTAGATTTCTAAGTTTATTCTTTCAAGATGTCTATATGGGTTCACTGACATGGCGCCAAGACAGCGAAAAATAGAGGGGATCAAAATATACTCACGTTACAGGTAGAGAAATAGTAAAATTGCAGTCAGGCTGTCTATTGAAGTACGCAAAGAGCATCAGTTGTAGTGTTCAGATTTTCAGTTCTATGTAATCTGAAATAAATATGATACACACTTGAATTGACAAGTATGACTGAAGATGACTCAAAAGTCAAATTTGACACAAGATAATTTGCGCTTCTAAAAAACCGAGATTTTACACGCCGAAACAAGTCACGTGGTAATCAAGCTCTAATCAATCTCTATCATCACATGTTATTTTTTTAATTCAACCTTTTTCGTTTATTATCTTCTATTACGGCATGTGGCTTTCACCTAGCGTACGACAGATAGTAGCTAATTACATTGCCATTTCGGGCAGAAGCCACTTCTGCTGGGAACTTCTGCCGACAAGAGTAACTTGGGTTACTCGAACTGTTTTTTAAGCTAAAGCGAGTCGGCCGTAGTGGGCAGATGTGTATAACGTATTTTGTCTGTATAATGGATGCTTGCAATGGACGACAGGCTCTAAGAGAGACCTGTTATAATCTAATATATTGCAAGCGGGATACTGTGACAAAGCGTACCCAAATGTAGTACAGCATACGTTCATATAGAAAACTGGTGAGGAACTTCTACCAACTAACACTCATACTACACAACCGATCGGTACTAAGTTACGTCTTTTTTCGTCAGGTACTTCGGTTTCAAACCTCGTGCATACATTGTCCAACGATTTAAATTTAGGTGTGTACCATCTTGCTATGGCTTTTTGCAGGGCTTGGGAATTATCTGTGTGGCTATATAAGGATGTCATTCAGCTCCTTGCCGCAGGCAATAGAAGTTCATTGAGGATCTAGTGAACTAAGAGCATAGACTCCATATTTGGTTCTCCAGCTACCTCAATCTAACTCCAGAACGAACAGCCGTAGACGTGCTTCGTTTTCCATATCGAAAGTATAACATAGCGGGTTATCACAACTATTTTTGTTCACTTTATGTATATCTGCTCCATGTATTTGTATCTATTTCTTTGTGCAACTGACACTGGGGGCATACCAAATATTAATCTGTATTGTTCATCTTTTGTACTTATATTCCTTACAACTTATATTCCCTTAACTAAAGTATGCACGGTTAATCAGGGAAGGTCGGCGGAAAGTAATTTACGGAGTATTGTATATTTTGTCGCCAGCATTAAATATATGCACAGTGCTTTCTAGTGCTGTTTTTTGTGCGAAATATCGAAAAAACGTTATTAACCGAACGCAATAACGCCTACTTTGTCCAAGAAATAAGTACGGCTCAGAAGTTTAAAGATATTTGTCCTGTATCATATGTCTTTGCGGATATCTAAATGAATCGTATTTTATCATTCCTATCATCATATCAACCTCAAGGTGCGGTAAACTGTACATATAAAAATATCACAACATCTTGTGACAATCGAATCCAGATCCATTTATATTACACTGCCTTATCTACAAGGGCTTCACCTATCTACGTTAGGCGTATTTGCATACATATTTATATTTCGTAGATATGGATTAGAAGAACACATATTATCGTAGAATGACACCATTTTTTGGTGAGGTTGTACTAGTTGATAGGCCTGTGTTCCGAAGGAATTTATCTACATTTAACACGCTAGGTTCAACATGTTGTCGCGGTTGGTTTGTATACGTGCAATGGTCGGTCCAGTGATTCAACTGACGTGACAAGTGGCTCTTTGCAATCACTTAAACCCAATTTGTAGAAATGACCACCTGAAAGCTCCTTCGAAGGACCTCTATGGGCTGGTGGGCGCTGGGTCCTTCGACGAGCCGATGAGCCGATGCAAGTGATGACATCTGTTGACGTTCGATTCGACGAAAACAAAAAACGCTGACTAAGAGCCTCTATCTGTAGTTGCTTAGGCATCTCGGACATGGTTCTTCTCCCCAGATCGCCGCTTTTCCTTTACTATCTCCACACAAATTTGCCCTTAGGGATAGAAGCTCAGAACGGTGGTGGGCAAGGCGACCGAACATCTTCACCGTGGATGATATGCGATGTAGACCTAATGCGGTTGTCTCTGTGACCGCTGTGTGACCAAACACTTAAAGAATTGGCTGCTAGGATGTCAGTGCAATTTTGTATGTGCATTTTTTAATTCTTATTAAGTGAAGACCAGTTTCTTAAGGTCAGCTATTAGGTCGTATTACGTATACAAACCTTACAGTAGCCGAACTCTGGTGCTACCGTCAAGCATTGCTTCAGACGGCTGGCCCTTTCAAACACGAATCAAGCGAAACGTGTGCTTACGTCCGATTTTAAACCTCGATAGGCGTACGTGATTGTAAGTTTAGTGGGCGAATACGTTACAACCAAACCATCGCGAAAACATATCACTGTACTCGAACCGTAAGAAGCAGAAGTTGCCCCACTGATATATACGGACGAATTAGGACCAGGGAGAGGACGACATGTGGTTTTTACCATAATTCTTCCACCTTGAAAATTCTGCCGCCCATACCTAAGTTTACCTGCCATTATGGGTAAATGAACGTGATCTTCATCTTGTTCAGGTCGTTATAGCTGCAATTAATGACCGTGTTGCTTCTTGTGTTATTGTATAACTGCGGCAGCTGCTGCTGCAAGGAACTAAACAAATAATTGTGTATTTATTAAGTTGTTGCTCATTTTGGTAACGTAGCGTTCGAGTTACGTCTTTGAATTGAATTACTTGACAGCCTGACCCTTCATTAACATAATCTGCTGCTGACCGCCTGAGGTTAGAATGCGAAAAGGGAGAGCGTGCAATCTTTGGACGTTGGATACACAAACTTAACATGTATACACTTAAGGTTAAGTTACGAGTTTCACTTCCGGTGCTGGCATTAAGCAATCCTCTAGGCGGGCTGAATTGGCACATGTGTACATGCTTGTCTGCTTATTAAGGCGCAGGTTCTAAAGCTATTCCTTGCAAACCATCACCGAAATACGTGAGGGATAAACAATTACGGATAGCAACCCATGATGAACACGCTTCGACAAATGCAAGAGTGATTAAGGTTGTAGAAGAAGTACTAAATGCGAGCGGCAAGATCATATCGAAAATAGTTGGCCTTGGGGGTCACTTGATGTTAATAACTGCGTTAAGAGATCTTAGTTTAAGCAGAAAATTTGAATCAAGCGTACCGTTGCGAGTGTTCGCTTGTGATTCCTTGTACATTTCTACGGATGGTGCGAACGTTGATAGATTTCTAATAAACCCCGTTATGTTTAATTAGCACTATCTTTCTACTTTGGTTCTGAAAAGCTGCTGCTCATGTGATAACGCTCGGCGAGTTTTTGTAAAATGAAAGAATGACCGATCTTCTAATAAAAATTGGCTTTTTCTGAAAGGAAATTTGTTTATGTGAATGGCTGAGAACGTTGACCGCCGGTAGCTCAGTCTCATTGAAACTGTCCATTGAATGGGCTTAGGAGACCTACACTCGTCGAGAAAAAGCTCCATCAACGTTATGTCCATTAGACCCTAAAGGATCGAAAGCTGTTTAGTTACATCCACTCTTATCTGCTCTGCAGTGGCGGACTGGCACGCTTGATAGCACTAGCTATAGTGCCTTTCCCTGTATGTCCTAGCAGAACAAAACAGTCAACCGACCTGAAGAGTTAACGTCCTATCTAGAATAAGTCTAGTGAGATTCCTGAGGAACAATGCAATGCCTGTTTGTCAACCAGTCCTGACCGACAATTTCACTGAAGGCAGTAGTGCCCCAACATAGAAGAGACTTTTGAGCTGAAGCTTACAACTGTGATCGTTTACTTCAATCTAATGGCTGCCTATTTGTAAACGGTAGTTGATTTACCGCTCAGGCAGTGAATGGCAGTCAATGATGTGTTTTGCGCGCGCCGAACTTAATCGAAACGGTGGACGATTAATTATTGTTCATTCGTACGTTGGTATAATCAAAGAATATTTCGGTGGTAGCTTTAGATTTGCTCATATTACATACGTTCTTAGTAATGAAAGGTTTTCCAATTACTGATGAGACGATTAATATAGAGAAAAGGAACAGAAGATATTCTTGAAAAGAAAAGAAGTAAATTTGCATAGATTTGACTAACGATATTCATTGTGTTCGTATCCATTTATCGGTTCATCTTGTATTATATAACAATGAATATGAACGTTACTAATGCAAATTCATCTGTCATCTTTTTTATAATTAATTCATTTTTTTTCTCTGTTATTTGTCTAACTAATATTTGGACAACAGTAGAATTTGTAAATGTACAATATTATTAAGTGTGCATCAGTGACCTTCTGCCATTCATGTGACAAAACCATTATTTTGTCACTAAAGAACGTCTGTGGTGATTTTTACTTTCCTCCTAAATTGAAGCTAAGTTAACAGTGTTAACATAACGCTGCTGAAACTTAAATGAATGATACACTGATGATGCAATATATGGACTATATGGCGAATGGATGAGAATTTCTATCATGAAAGTTCTTCCAATTTGTACCACGTAGCTAAATACGTATGTAGTATGGTATCGTCATGATGGAAGATGGTTGTAAGTTTTGGTTGATTTTTTTCAATGGATTGTTGTAATTTCGTCAACTGTTGAAGTAAATGTCCAAATCAATCGCTTTGTCAGACGGCAGCAGCAACTTGTTATGCATGATTCTCTTCCAACACCGACAAACATGTAAGGTCACTGTCTTGATGTCAATGTGGGCGTTGCCACAGATTATAGAGCACTTTATTATCGCACGCTATTCATTATACATCCGCAGCAATTAGGTGTTTTCAAAATAGATCGATTTTGCTACATTTCGATAGAATTTTTCAGCCGGAAATACGACCGCATTAATTCGTGCGACACCGACCTTTGGTTTTATCGAGTTTCTTTCAAATGACTTAAAACTATTTAGAAATGGGTGTTCAGTTTCGTAGAGACATGAGAGCTACTTACGCGTCAGTTTTCGCAATAATTTTATCGTCGTTTGCCGTAATTTGTCGACTACTACGAAAAGTAACTTACCAATCGAAATTTCCAAGACGAAAGCATTTTTAAGCCATTTTTCTCTATGAGCCATCTTGACCAGACACAGAAATTTTACTTATTTTCAAAGCGTTCCATCTTAAATCTAGATGTCTAGATCTATTTGCAAAATGCGCTAAAGATGTTATTTATCTAGCTCAAAATAAAGAACTCTTTGTATTTTATATTATATTAGATGAGATATGTGATTAGTGTAGTCTCTAGATAAAAAACCTAGCTATGTCTGTAGACATTTGCTATTCGCCATGCGTCCTTCATGTTGCCGTTCAGTTACGAGTTGCTTCTATCTGCGGTAGACAGCAGAGGATCTGGCTAGGAAAAAATCATGTGTCTACAAAAATATAACGGCTAACGGTATCTTCTTTCCTGACGTGAGATCCTGACGTTTCCACTGTGATCAGCCAATTGCAGCGCTCTGCCAAGGATTGGCCATTAACTACTGCTAGGTCAACGGAGAGATTGAACCACAAATTCTCTAACAGTGGGAAAGTCTCAGGGCACATTTATAGCTAAGAAAGGGATGAGGTTATTACCTCCAACTAGACAATGTTACACATTCTATAATGCACCACCACTATCATTCGCGACTGCAGGTTCACCACGTCGACAGTGCCCAGTTTTTTTGCTCTATAGGCGGTTGTTATTTTGCGGAACCCGTGATTTGCGCGATCGGTACAAGAGAGAATTGGCGTCTGCTAAATAATAATAACAATATCTTTGATCCAGCGCCTCTAGAACTAACAGTATCTTAGCAGGTGCGTTATTGTACGGCTTGGCATTTGCAAGTATCTCTTACCGCTAGTTTGGCGGAGATAGCTTGGAAAGACATGTGATGAGAGGATGTTCTTGTGTATTATCCGCCTATTGCAGGCCTAGTTCATGCT